AATCTCAGTGTGAGTCTCTCGTGTCCCTCAGGGCAGGAATGTTTGTTTTGCTTATTTTCAACATCTGGAACATGGGCAGGCATGTTCAGGAACTCAATAAATATTTCTTGAATGAATGGGTATATAGGATATGTTGTGCTCCAATTTATTTTCGTGTATTAATTTATTTCATAAATTCATTCATTCATTCATTCATTTATTCAACCAAATTTACCAAGCGCCTTTTCTGATCCAGGCACTCTGGGAAATGCAAAGGTAAGCCAGACATTCTCCCAGACACCAAGGAACTCTATATTTCAGAAGAGACAGACATGTAAAGCTACCGTTCTGGAGGAACATGTGCAAACGCTAACTGCTTCGGGAGGCAGAGCACAAAGGGTATAATTACCAGTATGTAGCAAGCATAGTGGTGCCTACATCTAATCCCAGATACTCAGGAGGCGAAGGCAGCGGGATCACAAGTTGGAGCCAGCCTTGGCAACCTCAACAAGACCTTATCTCAATATAAAATGAGAGAGGAGAGAGTTGCTACTGGGGGCATACAGTACTTGCCTGGCATAGTCAAGGCCTTGAATTCAATCCCCGGGACCAGAGGCGAAGACAACCAAAGGGCCAAAGAAACAAGATACAGGTGAGTGAGAGAAGGGTTCCCAATAAGAAGCCAAATCTGGAGAGACAGCAAGAAGTGAGTCCAGGCAGAGGCAGTAACCAGCACACATACACATTAGTGTTGAGAGGTAATCAGAGGAGAAGGAGAAGTTGTTAATGATGATATTTAGTCAAAGAGGCGGTTGTTTTCCTTCAAAAGAAAAAAAAAAAAGGAGCAGTGAGAGAGCTCAGCAGGTTAGGCACTTGCTGCCAACCCTGAAAACCTGAGTCCCATCCCCAGAACCCGCACAGTAGAAAGAGCGAGGTGACTGCTGCTAGTTCCCTACCCCCATGAATAAATAAATCTAATTTGAATTTTTTTAAATTAAATGTCCTAGGAAGATGGCTCAGTCAGTAAGCCACTTGCCACACAAGCATGAGGTTATGAGTTTGGATCTCCCAAACCCACTTCAAAACCTGGGTGTGTCCGAAAAAAAAGAAAAGTGGCCTTTAGGCATATACCCAAAGGACTTTATATCTTATCATAAAGATGTTTGTGGCTCCTCTATTCACCATAGCAAGGAAACAAAGCCAGCTCAGATGCTCATCGATGGACGAATGCATGATGAGAATATGGTACATATATACAATGGAATTTTACCCTGCAAAAAGAAAAATTAAATTATGAAACTTTCATGGAAACAGGTGGATCTAGAAAGTATATCAAGCAAGGTGACCCAAACTCAGGAAAAGAAAAACCTCACATTCTCTCTCAGATGTGGATCTTAGCTTGTAATGTACATATGTGTGAAATACATATGTGTGTGTGTATCAATTCATATATGTGTGAACTCATATATATGTGAATTCACATATATATGTAAATTTTATACAACACACACACACACACACACACACACACACACACACACACACACACA